GCTAGTGAGGCTCCCTAGACAGCTAGCGAGGCTCCATAGACAGCTAGCGAGGCTCCCCTTTACTAATATTTAGTTTTATGTAGCCAGTATTTTTTTTAACCGAACATGTTTTACTATGGAGAATTTTCACTCCATAGTGGAGGGTGTAAATAATATTTATTATTATTACTTTTTAATTGTGTGTGTGTTTGTGCTGGTTCATATGTGTAAGTGCTGGTACGTGTGTGCTCTGGCACATCTGTGGAGGTCAGAGGACCATAAGTGTTGGTTTTCCCTCATTGCTGTGGCAGGCTAGCTAATATGAATTTCTGGAGGTTGTCCTGTCTCTGTCCCATTTTCCCCATAGGAGCGCTGGGATTGTGAATATGTGCACTGCTAGATCTACTTTTTTGTGGGTTCAGAGGTCCTGAACTCAGGTGATCAAGGTTGCATGGGAAGTGTTTTAGCCACCGAAACATCTCCCAAGTCCAGGAGTTGTTTTTGGTGGTTAAAATGTTGAAACGTCAGTAAATTGGCCCCTTGTTGTTGTTTAAAAAATAATAATGTTGGGCCCAGGGTGCCACTTTCGGGTCTGTTCTCCAGCACTGTAAAAAAGAGAAATAAAGCTTGTAGTTAATTATATTATTCTATAAGTTAAAATAAATCAGTATGATCCTTTTTAGCTGTTTCAAGTAGCGTTCATTCATTTGACCTTACTCTTGAAAGAATAAAAATGTTATTTTTTAAATTGAATTTGGTGTTATTGTAATGTGCTTACCTTGACTCGTCTGTCTTGTTTTTTTTTTTTTTTTTTTTTTTTCTACAGTTGCTAACTGGCCAGTACAGAGACACACAGACTTCTATTACAGATAGTTCTGCTATATACAAAGTCAACAATAACAGGGTAAGAGGTATCTGTAGAGTGTTCTAGAATCTGACACTCTTCCTGAGTTCTACTGCCATGTCTGTTGCTGACCAGAAACAACTTGGGGAGGAAAGGATTTAATCTATTTACACTCCCAGGATGTAATTCATTATTAAGGGAAATCAGGGCAGGGTCCGGGAAGCAGAAGCATGCAGAAATGCTGCTTGCTGGCTCACTCTTTGGTTTACTTAGCTCAATTGCTTCATCCTGGACCACCTGCCTAAATATGACACCTCCCTTTTAGGACTCAAGAACATGACCGCCATAGACATGTGCACAGGCCAGTTTGATGGAGGTACTTCTGTTGAGGCTTCTCTGACATGGCTATAATCTGTGTCAGGTTGACAAAGCTTACTGGGATACTGTGGCTTGTCAAGGAAGGGTCTTCTTGAATGAACTAGTGTGAAGAAGTAGGTATCTTTTGTAGCTTACTTTTATGAAGAACATGTTCTGCATAACAGATCTGTCCTTGGCAATATAGGTAGCAGGTTAGTCCTGCCCACCCATTCTTGTAATTTATGTAGACATTTTCTAGGTTATGTCTGTCCAACTGTACTGACTGGGGTTGTGTGTCAACTAGACACAAGCTGGAGTTATCACAGAGAAAGAAGTCTTCTTGAGAAAATGCCTCCATGAATGCTGGATTTCATGGAGGCATTTTCTCAAGGAAGACTTCTTGAAATAAGGCATTTTCTCAGTGATCAAGGGTAGAAGGGTCCATTGTGGGTGGTTCAATCCCTGGGCTGGTAGTCTTGGGTTCTATAAGAAAGCAAGCTGTGCAAGCCAGGAAGTCAGTAAGTAACACCTCTCCATGGCCTCTGTATCAGCTCCTGCTTCCTGACCTGCTTGAGTTCCTGTCCAGACTTCTTTGGTGATGAACAGCAATGTGGAAGTGTAAACTGAATAAGTCCTTTCCTCCCCAACTTGTTTCTTGGTCATGATGTTTTGTGCAGGAGTAGAAACCCTGACTAAGACACAGTGTGTTATCTTTATGTTTGAGAATATTCCCTTACACTACTTTAACATGCTGACTAAGACCACCAGCATTACTATGTGTTTCAATGAGTACTGGGTCTTTTTCTGGTATAAGTAGGCAGTGTGTAGGCATAGGACAATCATTTGGTTATAAGTAGTTGTTCTTTTCTGCCTCTGCTAGCCAGATGTCTTTAGAAGCTGTCCCATAGTTTTATTAATCAGAGCCTTGTTAATGTTTAGTGCAGTTTCAGTCTTTTGCTTTTAAGAGCATCATGGTGATGGATATCTTTTTAAAAACTTTTTATTGTTTCTTTTTGAGTTTCCCATCATGCACCTCGGTTCCACTCATTTCCTCGTCCCCTCATATCCATCTTCACCCTTGCCCGAAATAAGAAACATACAAACAAACAAAATCCCAAAGCATAGAATGATTCTCGTTGTGGAAGCTGTAGTGTGTCACAGTGTGTCCCACAGTTACCCCTCTGTCCACACATTTCACTTGCAAATGTTCATTGCGATAAGTCATTGGTTCAGTTTGAGATTTCTGACTTCAGTGACACCACATGCTGGATGTCTTAATGCCATTTAAAGAAATACTTAAAACCAGAAGTAAAAATTCTGGATGTTTCTTTAAGAAGATTGAGGATCCCATTAATTGTAATACATACTATAACTTTACATTATTTGTGAATATGTACTAGTTTTCGTGTTGCCTGCTTATATTAACATTGGTGTATATCCTAAGCCTTCGATAGACCAATCTTCTGTGATTCCTTCAGAAGTGTTACCATTCTCTTAAAAATGTTTACTGCTGGGCGTGATGGTGCACACCTTAGATCCCAGCACTTGGGAGGCAGAGGCAGGTGAATCTCTCTAAGTTCAAAGTCAGCCTGGTCTACAAAGTGAGTCCAGGACTGTCAGGGCTACATGAAGAAACCCTGTCTTGAAAAGCAAAACCCAGCCAACCAAACAACTCATTTATTAACACTGTAATTTTATGCGTCTTCCATAGTTTTGAGACAGGGTCACTCGCTGTCCTGAAGCTTACAAAGAAGCTTAGGTTGCTGACCAGACAGCTTCAGGAATCTGCCTGACTGTTTCCCCAGTATTGGGGTAAAAAATGAGTCCACACTGGGATTTTTTTTTTTTTAAATACAAGTTTTTGGAATAAAATTCAGATCTTTTTACCAACTTTTCCCCAGCCACTATTTTTTTTTTTTTTTTAAAAACGTATTTTCTGTGCCTCATGTATACTAGGCAAGCCTCTACCCTTCGTCAGTGTTTACTATTAGGATGTCCTCCACAGACATCCATCTGACTTGCTGCCTGCAGGAAACATTTGCTCAGTGTAGCCACTCGTGGCTACGAGTCGAACGGGTTCACCTGAAAAGAGGGCTGGGAAGAGGGCGAGAAGAGATGAAGCCAAGACAAAGGTCTCTGATCAAGGCTCGATGCTTTAATGTTCAGCTCTCAATTTAAAGGGAAAGACACCGCCTGAACCCTTAGTTTCAGCCAGGAGAGATGGGTGGGATAATCCGTTAGGCTGGAGATGTCTCAAGGCAAGCTCAGCAGGCAGTTCCTGTAGCAGGCTGTACGTGCAGCCAAGGTGTGTAACTCCACCTAGGTGTCTATTGTCATGCAGCCAAGGTGGGTAGTTCCACCTAGGTCCTATTATTTGGTCTATTGTGGTAAACAAGGTCTCTCAGGCCTGCTCAAGGCTGGGGGAAGGGCACAGCTCAGTTCATTAGCTCAGCTCCAGTGTGCTGATCTGATGGTGAAGATCTATCTTGTGAACCTGAACTGGATGGAATGGTGATTTAATGTCACTCTTTCTGTCCTCAGGGTAACAGCCTGACTTTGATTGACCTCCCCGGGCACGAGAGCTTGAGGCTTCAGTTCTTAGATCGCTTTAAGTCTTCAGCCAGGTAAGTTAGGGATGAAGTGACATGGGTTTGTTCAAGTCTGTACTGTGTCCATACACATACTCTTTCCTCTGCTGAAATTTTGACACTGTGGTATTTTGGGATGCACCTTAGAGTGGCCATTTTCTGGGGTGCTAGGACTCTGAAGACTTGGGAGCCTGCTTAAGGATTGGTTTTTCAGATTGCTCAGGGAGTGCTACTCTATTATCATGATAAACTTCATGGTAACCCCGAAGACACTTTTAAAAATTTGTGTTACTTTTAACGATGTGTATGTGGGGCGGGGTATGTACACTTGTGTGCAGGTACAGCATGGGCCAGAGGAGGGAGGGTGTTGGATTCCCTGGAGCTGGGGTTGAGAACTTCCCAACATGGGTGTTGGAAGCTGAACTCAGTTCCTCTGGAAGAGCAGAACACACTGAACTGTTGAGCCATCTCTCGAACCCCTGATACTGAAGGTAGGTTAAATGACGTGTTAAGGCTATTACAGTCTGGAAAAGGAATTTTTAAGGCTGGGATGAATCCTGGAAGATACTAAACTCAAAAGATTAATCATACTTTTTTTGGTTTTCTTTTGTTTTAATAAGGTGGCAGTATCTCTCTAGCCTATGTTTCCTAGGCTGGCCTTGAATTATAAGCTTTTTCTGCCCCAGCCTCCTGGCTTATATAAACTAAGTAGCTTTTCCTTCCTGTCTGCCTGCTTCGTTTTGGTTTTTTGAGATGAGTCTCATGTACTTACTGCAGGTTGACCTTGAACTTGCTATGTAGCCAAACAGGAATGACCTTGAATTTGGAAGTGCTAGGATTAGAGGTTTGTGTTCCATACCTAGTTGTTTTTTTTTTTTTTGATACAGGGTTTTTCTGTGTAGCCCTGGCTGTCCTGGAACTCACTCTGTAGACCAGGCTGGCCTTGAACTCAGAAATCCGCCTGCCTCTGCCTCCCAAGTGCTGGGATTAAAGGTGTGCGGCACCACTGGCCCGCCATACCTAGCCTTTTTTACTCTACTTTCTTTCCGCCTTTCTTTTCCCTCTTTTTTTTTTTTTTTTTTTTTTTTTTTTGGCCATCAATAAGAAAGTCCCACTTGCATGTTTTGCTTGTTTGTTTGTAGCATAGAAGTGCTAATGTAAGTGGTTTATTTCTAATTTCTTGACATTGAACTGCTGGGAGTTGCCCAATGAAAGGTTTGGCTCCATTGGACTTTATGTCCCATGTTTGTATTGGAAATCCCGTACAAATGAAAATGGAAAGCCCGCCAGCACCTGATTTCTGCCCAGAATTTTTTTTCTACTCAGAATCATACCTTTGACTCCATGAGGACTAATCTAACATTCAAGATTACTGACGATGAACAAGACAAAGGGGTTTATGGTTTCCTTTGCTTTGTTTTAAAGAACGAAACATTTCTCTCATAGTAGATTCTTTTTTGGGGGGTTAGGGTTTGAGGCAGGTTTTCTCTGTGTACCCCTGGTTGTCCTGGAACTCCCTCAGCAGATCAGGCTAGCCTCCAACTCAGATGTGCCTGCTGCTGCCTCCTGCCTCCTGTGTCCTGGCATTAAAGGTATGCCCTACCATGTCTGGCTCTCATCATAGATTCTTAAGCATGTTCTTCAGGCATGCTAACTGGGGTTCTTTGGCATAACTGTTGCTTGTTTGCATGGATAGAGCACATAGCTGGTATCCTCAAAAAGGCCAGCTAGAGAGGCCTGGCTTGAGTCTCTGAACCACCGGTAGCTGTACTCTGGAAGTGTAGGTTTCAAGTCCCGGGTCTGGACCATATGCTGACTGGAGTCTGTGGATCAGAAGTTCAGCAGAGTAGAGTGTCACAGTACCACGTGGAACAATGAGGTCTCCTCACCCCTTCAGTAGTGGTCTGCTCTTGAGAGCAGCTTGTAGCTAACAGTTTGCTGGGTGCTTTGCTACTGGTTGGTCTGGAGCTGTCCACTTCATAGGAACCACCATATACAGACCTTTCTTATTATCTCCTTGTACAACCCTGCCAAAAGCTAGAGGCAGCATGGCGGCCCAGCACGTCTGTTCTTTTTTTTTTTTTTTTTTTTTTTTTTTTTTTTTTTTTTTTTTTTTTTGGTTTTTCGAGACAGGGTTTCTCTGTGTAGCCCTGGCTGTCCTGGAACTCACTCTGTAGACCAAGCTGGCCTCGAACTCAGAAATCCACCTGCCTCTGCCTCCCAAGTGCTGGGATTAAAGGCGTGCGCCACCACCGCCCGGCAGCACGTCTGTTCTTAAATCACACTAAATTGATAATTCAAGAAAGGTATTTTTAGTGTAAGTCTTTGTGTCATTGATTTTTAAATTCTTTTCCTAAAATTTGTATGCTGTAGTTTTAAATGCTTTCTTCATGTTTGCTACCTAACATTGATTAAAAAGCAAGGGAAATTTGTATGATACATTTCAATGATGTGAAGACATATTTTGATAGCTGAATTTGGAAAGCATCTTGGAGATGATGCTGTGATGGTTTAATTGGCAGTCCTGTGCCTCAGGTATTACTGTTTCTTTTGACTGACATTCAAGCCTCCTTTTTGTCGAGCTTGTCTAGATGTAGATTTTGTCATTGCTTCTTGCCACAAGTGGATGGTGTTGAGCAGTCTGTCATAGATGAGAATGTGATTTTTATTCCTCAGACAATTGAGACATATCTAGAACTGCTAAATTTGGCCATGATTGGGTGTTCTTTTCTCCTTTTCCCTCTTGTTGGGCACTGTGGCACACACTACTTAGGAGAGGCAGAAGGATGGCAACTTTGAGACCTGCCTAAGCTGTCTAGTCAAAGTGTCTGAAGAACAGCTCTTTTTCTTTTTCCACTGTCATTTGCAAATATTTTAGAGTTTGTAGTATAATTATACTGTTATCCAAGTATTTTGGATAAATAGAATATTCAGCATATAAAGGTAAAGCTAAGTTAACAGACCAGTCATAAAGCTGTTAAATTGAAAACACTTTCATTATAGCATTTGACATTTTTTTTTTAAGATTTCTTTTTAAAATTTAGGTGCATGTATGTGTTCGTATGTTTGTGCATGGTGTATATGCAGGTATTCAAAGGACTAGAGCATGGTGCTGGATCCCCTGAACTGGATTTACAAGCAGTAGTGAGCTGTGTGATGTGGGTCCTGGGAACTAGCCCGGGTCCTCTACAAGAGCAACAAGTACTCTTGCCCAATTTGACATTTAAAAAATTCTTCCTTGTGACCTAAGATTGTTTTCCCATCTACTGATTTAATAGTATATATATATATATATATATATATATATATATATATTTCCCCCTATGGATTCCTGCCCCATTTTAAACAATAAACAGTATCTAATCAGGACCCATTTCTTTTTCATGAACCATAATAAGCACCTGTGTTTTGAGCGTCCTCAGACCCTTGTGTTATTTTTCAGTGTGTCATGAAGTTGCTGTCTTTCACTTGAAATTACCTTTATTTGACCCTCTACTTTGTTTATTTGTTTTAGCTGCATGTGAGGTCCTGGGTGGCAGCTCTTCCAGTGATCCCATGGAGACTGCTAACTCCATGCATCTGCTCTTTCAGAGACTGCTATTGCCAGTGTAACTGTCATTTCCCTATGAACCATCTGTCTTTGGATTTGTGGTGTTTGGAATCCAAGTGTACCACCCTCTACAGAAGGGCGTTACCGTCTGTTAAATGCAGGGGTTAACAGACCCTGGTGGGCAGCTGGACCACCCACCCTGCGCAAAGTATGCCACTCCAAAGGTAGTCTAATGGAGGCTGTGGCTGGAAAGTAATTCCAAAGAAACTGAAACACCTGATCACCATGCCTCACCAATACAAGGCACAAGTGGACACCCTACAGGATAAAGGCCCCAAGTGAAAGATTAACATGAGTATCAGGCCAGATTCATCAAACCGTGTGATTGATGAATGGCACTGCCTGATGTCTCACTTGTCACAGCATGACCCTTCTCTCTGCCCTAGCTCTTCCACAGTTTATCTAACAAATCCTTCTGCATTGAGTGTTGAGTTGGCCCTGAGATCTGCTGCCTAGTTTCCTGAAAGAACCTCTGCTTGTTTCCACTGAGTTGTTTATTTACTATTTTTATGTGTTCCTTTAAAAATACCCTTTAAAAGTCCACCTGTTTCTTTTTATTTGCTTCTAGTGTTATCCTCTAAAATAACTGTAAACATATATTATGACTTTTTGTTGGTTTTTGGAGGCAGAATTTCATGTAGCTCAGCCTGACCTTGAACTTACTGTTCAACCAAAAATGACCTTGAGTTTTTGATCTCCTGCCTCTACCTCAGTGCTAGGGTCACAGGTGATCATTTTGCTTGGTTTTATGCTGGCTGGGATGGCATATAAGGCGATGTCTACTATGCAAGCACTCTGCTAACTGAGATACATGTCCAGCCCATAAACGTGCTCTGTAGACTGCTCCGAACTCCAGTTTGGGGAGTGCTAGTTAATAATTGCATATTTTCCTCTATGTTTTGATCTCTCTTTCAAGAGAATGGGTGTCATTGAGGTTGGCGGTCTTTGTTCCTGTAGGACAGGAAAGGCTGACTCCACCCAGCTATTCGCATTTGTTAGCACCGTCGGGATTTGATGGATCTGGTCTGATTTTTATATAGTCTTTTGCTTAGGGCTCTTATTCCAAGGGATAGTGTCTACTTATGCCCCATAGTTGTAGCCATTGGAGACCAGGTGTTTTAATTTCTTTGAAATTATTTTCTAACCATAGCCTCCATTAGACCGCCTTTGAGTTGGAGGTTTTGTGTAAGGTGTTTGATCCAGCTGCCCATGCCCTGTTAGCCATCGCACATTCTCTCCACCCAGGCTTCAAACCCCTGGCCCCAAGGACCTGTTGTCTGAGGTTCCCATGTATTACTTCTGAGGTCAGGTCCCACATAGTCATGATTCTTCCTCCCAAGAGTGTTCTGTCTTCCACTTAGGCACCAATAGTCTTCGCAAGCACAAGCTTCGCAGGGCAGTGTGCCCTCATCCCTTTTCTCTCTGACCTGGTTTCCCCCATTCACCCCTGCCTGTGTGCTCTTCTGAGATGTGTTTTATCTATTTGTACCTTTAGGATTCTCCCTTTCCCTACAGTTTGTGACCGTGTTTGTGACTTGTTCTGTCTACTCAGCTTTACTTTAGTTGCCGTCTTTGTTCTCACTCCATTGTGGGTACATCCTGCCCTGGTGTTCATCACATAGATCTGTTGGATGGTTTTCTGGCCCTTGAGAGCAGAAGTCAATTCTTGTGTCCTTTTAGCTTTGTCATGTTCTGTTTTTACTTAAAGCGTATGTGCGTGTTGTGATGGAGGGCTGAGTGGTGAAACCAGGGATCCTGTTCTGTGGCTCCTGCTTGCTGTTATGTGCTCATGTGTCCCTTCTGTTTAACCGTCTCTGCAGGGCTGTGGTGTTTGTGGTAGACAGTGCAACATTCCAGCGGGAGGTGAAAGATGTGGCCGAGTTTCTGTACCAGGTCCTCATCGACAGCATGGCTCTGAAGAACGCACCGTCCTTCTTAGTAGCCTGCAATAAGCAAGGTGCTTTGTGGTAATGGCAGCCGGCCATTGGAGGGTTGCTATTGGGAATGAATTTATTTTCCTACAGTTGTTATTACTGAGCATGGGGGAGGGGCTGGAGTTAAGCATTAATTAAGGGATTAAATCTGAAAATCTGTTTCTATTACTTTCCTGGTCTTTTACCAGGTTGTCCCAAGGACTGGCAGCTGAGGACTCTGTTGATGTAGCCTTTTTCATGACCCAGTGCTTTTTAAAGATCATAAATTATCTTACTTTACCAAATGTTAGTTTGTGAGGCCGAGTACTATTGGTTCTGGTTGGTTCTTCCAGACAGGCTGTACCACTGTCCCCCTTACCCCAGTGCTCACACTCGGGTCGGCTGGGCTTCAGCTCTGTGGCCAGGCTCAGTAACATACAGGAGTTTGTCTTTTGGAATTCTTTCATGGCTACATTTCTCTGGAGCCTGAAGCATTTTTCAGCAGTGATTATTTAAAATCCTAATACCTGATGAGTAGTATAGCTCTTAGCATCTGTTTTGTTTTGTTTTTCAAGACAGGGTTTCTCTGTGTAGCCCTGGCTATCCTGGAACTCACTTGGTAGACCAGGTTGGCCTCGAACTCAGAAATCCGCCTGCCTCTGCCTCCCAAGTGCTGGGATTAAAGGCGTGTACCACCACCACCCGGCACTTAGCATCTTTTTTAAAAGTATTTTTATGTGTGTGGGTGTTGTGTGTGTGTGTGGGGGGGTGCCAATCCTCAGGCATACTTGGTGGCTGAGAAGATTAGAAGAGGGCTTTGGATCTGCTGGGACAGTTGTCAGTTACCATGTAGATGCTGGGACTTGAACCCTGGTCCTCTGGAAGAGCAGCCAGTGCTGTAACCACTGAGCCATCTCTAGTCCCGGGCAGCTGCTTTTATTTAGTATGAAGAGGGCAGTCAACACTGATTTGGCGTGGGCTTTATGCCCTCCTGGGCTCCTGGCAGTGTGCGAGACTTCTCCTTAAAGGGTTGATATGGTGTTTGGTGTTGAAAGTTCTCATCAGATTTCAGTAATTTTGCGTGTCTGCTTAATTTCTTTAAATGGACTACAGGTTAAGTAGTGAAGGGCTCATAAGGTGTGGAAAACTTAAGTTTAATTAGTGTTAGGGTCATTAGTACTAAAACAATATTTTGTTGTATTTTATATTTTAAAGCATTTTTTAAAAACCTGCAAATACAGCATTTACTTTGACAGAAAGAGTTACAAAAAGTGTTTTAACAAAGGAATGGGGGAAGAACTTCTTAGTATAAATAGGAATTTTCTTTCTGTGCTAGAAGTCCAGGAGAAGACACATTCTGGTTTAAACTAGAATAATGCTCTTTTTCTTCTTCACAGATATCGCAATGGCAAAATCAGCAAAGTTAATTCAGCAGCAGCTTGAAAAGGAACTGTAAGTGGGGGTGTGCCCTTGGTGGAGTGTCTGCTGTGGCGGGGTGGATGGGTTGAGTCATGCACAGCTTTGGTTCCCATGACGATCAGAGTTATAGTCAGGGGAGTATGGCATATATGTGTTAAAGGGATTAGTTGAGTTATCAGACATGGGATGCCTATAGCTAATGTAAAGTTCTCAGGAGTGCTGGGAAAGGTGTATGACACCATGGCCTCTTGTGATTTTAGTATTTATAAAGTTTAGTCCTAGGCCAGAAGTCGGCAAGCATGCGGCTTCTGTGCTGCACAGGACCAGCAGCTGGCGGTAACGTGGCTTAGTTTGGGACGGTTCCCTACTTACAGATAGTGGGCGGATGAGACTTTGAGTGTGTAGATGTATGAGCGTCATGTCCACCCATTCTGAAGCTTCAAAACCTTGAGTTTTATAATGCCGCATACATTTAAAACCGTTTTCAATGCTGTCATTCAGGAGACCTTAGAAATAGGTATAGGCTTCAAAGAGCTGGTGTGACCTGGGTCTCCTAACCTACTAGTGTCTGGCTAACATGGGTTGGACCCATCTCCCCTGTCTGTCTGAAACAGTGGGGGGGGGGGTCCATGGATATAAAAGACAAGCCAGCAGTCCATACCCACTGGTGTTTATCCCATCAGATGTAGGAACTGATAGGAATTGATGGCTTTGTTGCTTCTGACTTTTCCCTTTGCCCCCAGCAACACCTTACGAGTCACCCGGTCTGCTGCTCCCAGCACACTGGACAGTTCCAGTACTGCACCTGCTCAGTTGGGAAAGAAAGGCAAAGAATTTGAATTCTCCCAGTTGCCCCTCAAAGTGGAGTTCCTGGAGTGTAGTGCCAAGGGTGGACGAGGGGACGCTGGCTCTGCTGACATCCAGGACTTGGAGAAGTGGCTGGCCAGGATTGCCTGAGGAGCATCGCTGGCCATAGACCTTGGTCATGTGAGCCTGACTCGCAGTTTGGGAAGGGCTGTGGTGATACGGATTGATAAAGAGGGGACGTGTCACTGTAGCATTTCTTGAGTTCTTGAAGCAATTATACCAGCTTGAGAGTTTCCCTCCCCATCAGTCCTTTTTCAGGTAGTCCTTTTCACTTAGTTCCCGTATCCTCCCTTTGTTAGGTGTAGCATTGCAGCAGTGTGAGACATAACGGAGAGGGCATCACCATGAGAGTAGGGTATCATCTGAGAAGTCCCTGTCTCCTGCCTCTCTGCATTGGTCCCTTTTCCTGGGACCAGATCTGTCTATTTATGGAATAAGTTAATTTCCAGTTCCTTCTGATATTTTGGCATAATACATTATCAGTTCTTGGTGAAGTCTGTGATGTGAAGACAGCTTTAAAACCACAGGGTACAGCTGACAGTGTGTTCTTCATGGGCTCAATGACCTGTCTCTACCTTAGGTTCAAAAGCTGCTGGAACCTGCAAGAGTCACCCTCACATGGTGGCTCTAAGAACCAAATCCCCAGACACTCATGGTGTGTGATTTTTAGAGGTTCCACTGGGGAAAGCTGGAGACAGCACACTGCTGCCATGGGCATGTGTGAGCCCAGGCTGTCACTACTTGTTCAGCTCCTGTTGTGACACTCCAGCTAGAGTGCTGTGGCACAATACACTGAAGATGTCCACTGTGCAGTTTAAATATGTATTTGTTCATGCTTTAGAAAAGTGTTGCCTTTTTAAAGTGATGCTGTTGTCAACATTTGTGTTCTTATTGTTTTTATAAATGACTGGTATCTTGATAAGTCACTGTATCGAAAGCATTAAGTCAAATGAGTACAAGTGGGAACCTGGGCTAGAATTCAAGCCTAGCTCCAGGTTACTGAGCCTACAGATCACAGCATATATACAGACTCTTCCTCTCATCCCCCACTCACTGAGGCCTCACTAAAGGGACACCATCAGAGCAATGACTCGAGGTACATTGCTCTGGCAACGTGTGCAGGAGCATCTGGGCTGGCCTTGACCAGTGAGAGTGACCAGATAAACACATGGATGTTCTCTGGGCAGTCTAGCCCAAGCCTCTGCCTGCTGACACATGGCCTCCCTGTTGGGTCACTTGAGCTGACAATACAGTCCCAGACCACAATTCCTATCGTAAATAGCTCCCCACCCCTAAAATATCTACTGGCCTCGCTTATGGTATATGAGACAGATATACCACAGAATAGATTAAGTCATGAGATGACTGTCAGTTCTCACTGGGAAGCAGTATTGCTGCTAGGGTTCTTACTGCCCTTTGGACACTGCTGTTCATGTCAGTCACAGACAAACGGGAAGAGCACGATGAAGGACGTTCGCATTACAGCAGGTGCTCATGAAAAAACTTTCAGTTAGAAAATGTGTTCACTGACCTCCCTCTTTTCCGGGTAATAAAGAGATTTTACTTAGTGGGAGAGTCAGTATATCAAAAAATGATGAGGATGGAGAGCCAGAATAAATGTTATTCATAGCCTGATGTCCTGAGCAAAAGGTAAGCTGGCCAGGGCTGGAAACTAGGTTGGTAGAATGCCTGCCTGGAATGCATAGGTCTGGCTTTGCTATGGGCTGCTGTCAAACGCAGCTGTAAACAGGCAGCTGTATCAAAGAAGGCCTGGAGTAAATAATCTACTTCTGGAAACTTCCATGGAGTCATGGCAGCAGTAGTTTCTCACTGCTAGGTGCTTCATGGTCTCTGGAGAGGCCTCAGCTATTAACAGCTGGGAAAGCCCTGCCACTGCTTCCCAAGGCCTCCAGCACCTCCTGGCATGAGATGTTCCATCAGAGGAGAGGTTTGGGAGTGGCCCAGACATTGAGCTGTTTAAGGCACATTAAAATAAAAGGCTCCATGTGTGTATCTTTTGTTTAGGAACCCAAAACATTGGTATGGGTAGCAAGCACACAGCCACCGAGTAGATTTGAGTAAGACTGACAGCCACAACAGATGGCACCCAACACGGGGCTTATACTCACTTTTAAAAGTTAGAGAATCCTAAGTAGAATACACATGCCTTCCCTTTACTATTAAGAGGCAGGGAGAATGGGTTTCTCAGCTGAGCTGAGCCATGTAGTTCTTCCCAAGCCATGCAAGTTCAAAACTAAGGTAAAAAATTCATGCTAGTTTGGCACACATGATTCTGGGGTTTGTGGCTTAATGCTAGGACACACACAGGCTCACCCAGGGTCAGGGACAGTGGGCTACAGATTCAGCCAGAGCTGCTACAAAGAGCTTAAGCCACAGATACTAAAAGCTCCTGCTGAGACAAGACAGGCTAAAGGTAGGCCTAAATAAGATAAAAATAAAAGAAAACTTTTAAAGATAAAAAGATAAGCCTAAAATAGGCTTATACAAAAATAGAAAATTTAATTAAAATTAAATACATTTTTAAAAAGATGTTAATTCAAGTTACATAAAGTGAAAGGTGGCATATGTGTCCACAGAGAGTTAATCTCCACAGAAGGGAGAATGAATAAAAATTGATTTAATTGTTTTTAAGGATAAAAAGGAGAAATAGTAATTGCTTTAAAGGAAATTTGAAAAATCTATGCCATTGCAGGTAGCTGGGGTTCTATGAACATAGGATCCATGGGAATTCTGGGATTACTTAGTCTGGTTATGACAAATCAATAGCCTAGAAAAAGGCTTATACAGTAAGTATAAGGTAATTTAATTGATGTTAAGTAAAGAAGGATATTAATTTAACTTAGAAAGGTCATATATATATGTATATACACACACACACATACCCACAGAGATATTAATCTCCACAGAAGGGGAATGTTAAATATACATAGATGGATAAATAAATTGAGGCCTTCAATTTCATATAGGTAGGGAGAAAAACCTCATTTCAGGCAGAGAATAGAAATTTAGGGCTTGATCTCGTGTGTGAAAAGGGCAGGTCCCTGTTCCCAGTTGGTTTTGATTGGTAAGTAAAGTTGCTGGCTGCCAATGGCTGGGTAGGGAGACAGAGGGGGGAGGAGGAGGAGGAGGAGGAGGAGGAGGAGGATATAGCATATAGCCACCATGTTAGGAAAGGAGTAAGGGGCCAGGCCTGAGAGGTGCAGAAGAGAGAGCATACCAATTGTGTAAGAGCTGGGGAAGAGTACCCCCAGGCCCCCCACACCCCAACTATCTAGGGAAAAAGACTGTAGGTTTTAGTAAGAAATAACTTGTGAATATCAGAGGGGAGGTATTAGCTATGTGGAGTCTTGGGAGTGGCCCAGCCATTGAGCTGTTTAAGGCATTTTAAAATCTAAGGCTTCCTATGTGTGTCTTTCATTTGGAATCCCAGAACATTGGTGCAGGTAGTGAGAAACACACTGCTGCCTCCACCACCAGGGCGATCTGAGTAAGAGTAATTGGCAACCACAACAGTGTTCTGCTGACATCATTGCATCCAGAATGTGCTGCTTCCATTTGTTTCTTAAAGAATTGCCAAAGTTCAGCTGGCTCATTCCGTTCTTACCCCGAATTGTCTCTGTGCTGCCCTCTCCCTTACCCGCTCCCCTGTGCTACAGGGGTTCCTAAGTAGGTTGTGTCTCTTCCTGTAGCCTCAATCAGCACATGGAATACCTAGTTCTATTGACCTGGGAAAAAAATGTGTGTACGTATTCAGGTTATGCATGTAAGTGTGTGTGTGTGTGTGTGTGTGTGTGTGTAGCACTGGCCACTCTTAGCAAACTTAGCAGTGGCCACTCTTGCAGTGATTAGGAGGTGAGTCGCCCAGTAGCCCCTGCCCTCATATTGCACTTTAAGCAGAGCAATTGGTGTCATCTCTTGTACCCACCTGGAGTACCTCCTTAGTCTTTTCGGGAACTGCAGGCAGCTGTGCTAACATTTTACCCAAAGACAGCAACCATTTTCTCAGTAGCGTGAAGCTTTGTGGCCCTGAACACTACTGTGCTGGGGAAGGACGGGCTGTTCTCACTGTCTGGACCATGTAGTCATTTACTCAGGCTCTCAGCCTTCCACCCTTTGCCAGCCCCTGCACCAGCCTACCTCGTACCCTATGACTAGATGCCGATGCGGCAGAGACTTTCATAGCTTCTAATTAGTAGTGACCTTGTGGCAAACTGGAGTGTTCCAGAACTTTTAGAAACAGGGAAGGTCATTGATGAACTTGGACTTGAAGAGTAGCACTTCCAACATCTTCAGGAATTGTTCTGAGAGCCAGCTTGGCTCTGAAGGCACCGGCTAGGTTGGAGGATGTCAAGATCTGAGAGACATCTCAGAGACTGTTCCCTGACTGGTGTGGGAGAAGCTGCGTGGGATCATGGTTGGTACCATTTTAAAGGTAATCATAATTACCCTTAAGTTCTTTCCTTTAAACGGTAGTCTGGAAATCAAGAGGATCGGAAACATAGTCCCTCCCCTATTCTGCCTTCCTAACCCCTAGTCGTGACAAATAGAGCATGGGGATGATGGTAAATATACTCCCAAGTCCTAGTCCCTCCCGGAGCTTCCCAGACAGATGAGCCCAGGTGAGCAGGGACAAGGGGAAAGGGCTCTGTGGAGGGGATACACCACCCAGACGGGAGAGGGCCTTTGAGGAAACCCATTTTTAAGCCCCGATATATAACTACCCCACTAAGAAACAGTCGACAAGAAGCTTTGTGTCGAGAATTAGGACAGTTTATTATTTGACCAACATGCTGAGTCTTTTCCACATATTACACAGTTGAATGTAAAGTCAATATGGCCACTTTGCCTTCTGAGCCCAGTACAGATGGAAATGCCGCCCTCTGCTCCTCACTTTAAAGGACAGGTGAGATGAGAAGTCAACACATCACAACAGGCAGGCTGGCCTTCGTTGCTATGGAGGCTTCCTGCCTCCTGAAGGGCCCATCTGAACTCCCACTGCAAGGTTTTCCTGATAATCATACCCTGTGGAGAGTGTCAATCAGACGGGGGTCTGGAGTCCAAGGACTCTGCACATTGAAACTCCAAGATTTTGGAACAGCAAAGAAGTTGATTTCAAACAAAAATTAAAAGAGTACCCTGACTACTGCTCTGTGTGTGTGTGTGTGTGTGTGTGTGTGTGTACACAAGACAATGCAAGTAGATTTGGGGACCACCCTTCTTTATAGTGAGAGCCCAAAATGCACCTATCTTCTCTCTAGCTAGTCAGGCTGGGAATACCTTTATGTACTAGCCACGGAGTAGAGATGGCTTAAGAGACGTGAGCACAGCAGGCCTGTCTGAACACTGCAGGTCAGCAATGGATCAAGAATGCCAACACTAGTTCTGATCATCTCTGGCCTGTAGGTAACTTTGTCTGTTCTGGTTCTCCCACCTGTGAAACAAGAAGGGGTTGGCTCCCAGTGCTGTGGCAAGGTGATGGTGCCTCCCATTCTTGGGGGAGAGGTAGTTTAAAAACTAGTGAGCATCAAGCCCTGAGCATTTGACACACTCAGACAGACTCCTGCTAGCTGGCTCTTGTGTAGCTCTAACCATCTTCAGCTACTTTGCTGACAGCCTCTCCCCCATCCATACGGAAAAGGGATAAACTGCTCTGCCTGCAGGATGCTGAAGCCAGCAGTACTTAGATCTCTGACACTGGTTAGCCACTGGGTTACAAAGACTAGACCCAGGTGTCTATACTCCTAGCTATCACCTTGCAACCCTTGTCTTTGTTGCCTGAGACAGTGAACTGATGTGGCCATGGCTTCCTGGGTCTTGAGATACTGCAAAATGTTTAAAGATGGCAACAGGGAGCAGTGACTGACAGCAGCAAGGCTCTAACCACCCAGCATTCTGACCTCTGACCCCACAGCAACACTAGCACTCAGGACACCGATGTCAGGCCCTCGTTTTGGTCTGCAGGTGTGTACAGCTACGCTACCTGCCTTTTCAATCTCTGCACTGCTCACAGAAGTTTTGCTGACAACTTTCCTTCAAGGCTCCTTGAAAAGAAAAGGAAGAGGGCTATGCCCATCTGCTGGGCCAGGCACAGTGTCCAGAGAGAGAACTGTATTACTACGTTGAGATCATGCCCTAAGAGGAATCCTCCATTTTGTCCTCTGACTGATCTGGATTCAGCCAAGACAGGGACACAGATAATTTCAGGATGTCTTTAAGAGAACCTGACTGGATCCTACCTACAAGTAGGATGGTGGTGGTGGTGGTGAAGGGGAAAGCCCAGTTCTGTTGAGGCCTGGCTGCATTGATTGCCTTTAGAGAAGGAGATGGGTAGCTTGGCTAAGGAAAAGAAGGCCAGGGCACCTCTGGGGTGAGAAAGCAATGGGGCAAAACCCTCATTCTCAGGGGCCGCAGAGCTAGCCTAAACTCAAGGAGGGGTTTTGTGTACAAGCTAGGAAGGCAGGGCTCCTTAGGCCAGATCAACCAGAAATGGGGTCTGCCATGGCACCTGCTGTTTCTAATAGCAGGCCATGATGTCTTAGATTGTGTGCACAAGAGAAGAGAATGGAGTTTCAATTTGAGTTACAGGAATACAAGAAAGGTTATTCAGTGTCAAAAAGGTTCAAATCCACCCCTACATTCATTCAGCGAGAGCCAGTAAAGAGTGCTGTCAGTGGGGCTCTGTCCCTCACTGCCAGCCAGGCTGCTGTCACCATGGGTTAAGTACGCTTTCTTCCAACAAGCACCACGTAGGTGGGGTGTCCACACTGTGGGGGGACACTGGCCCACGACGGCATGCACACCTGTGCACACAGGTACATAAAGCAGTGGTAAAGGTAGTTCTGTGGACTATTTTTGCTTGTAGTTTAACACATCTATGCACTATTTTATTGAAGGCAAGACAACCACAAGTTATTTGACAATATTGAATTATTTCTTATTTCAATACACTGCATACTTTTGAACTTCCAAAAACCGGAATCACAATGCAAGTTCCAAGTTGTGAGCGGGAGAGACAAGGGTATACATTGAGCACATGTATATGTGAGGATGTGTGTATGTGTGGAGGGTGTATACACAAGTCTATCTCTATGTATAATTATGTACACACATATAAAAACTAAACACATGACATTTCAGTTATGCTCGTACATTGGTCCTTGCCTTCTGGAAGGGGTACCCAGGGGAGGTCCTGCTTCCTCTCTTCTTCACCAGAACCGGCTCTGACACTGTCTCCCAGGATGGAGAGCATGGTAGGTCCACTCACAGAATCAGCTCTGCCATGTAGGCTATTTTGAACTTGTTTTTGAGAGATGCCATAATTTATCCCAACTTCCTTGTTGGAGTTCTGCCTGTGGAGGCAATTCCCTCTGCCCACCAACAGTCTAGAAGAAGAGCTAATGCTATGGGACTGGGTTGTTCTGGTTAGAGTCACTGCCCCGGGCCTGCCCAAAGGCAGACAGCGGCAGTGAGTCTAAGCGTGTTTAGAATGTGAGCTATTTTGCTTTGAGAAGAGCATTCTGTTAGAGACTTCGAAGGTCTGCAAGACAGAAACAGTCTGGGGAATGAGTGGAAATAGCAAGGACAGCCTGCTAGGGGGTAGGGGGCAGGTTGCAGTGCTCTGGGCAGCCTTCTGGAAACCCCACAGTGACTCCAGGATGCTCACAGTGCAGCCTCAATTCTCCCAAAGGTACTCATACAAAGATTTCAAATGAACTATGCCAGGGGTGAAACACATCAAGGAATCAACTTTTCCAGAACAACATTCCGCAAGATTAGTAACCAAGGGTCTGAAAACATGGAGTGTTCAGAGTCGGGGCCAACACCCCCTCACTTCCTCAGTGGTCGCTGCAGTGATGGCAGGTGCCCTGGGCTTCAGCATCCCTGAGCCAACCAGCGTCACACATTAAGTCAGCCAGTCAGCCTAACAACACGTGTCAACTGTTGGCCCAGTAGATTACAACTTTTGAGACCCACACAATACCTCAGCCCCCAGCTGTCAAGAGAACCCCATCCTTCTAGTAACTTCTTGTTCTGCTTGTCACTGGGTCAGCCCAGAGAAAGCACTGTTGCCTGTGCTTTCTGGGTCTATTTTTTTTTTTTTTCAGGGAAGGAGAAGAGGCAGAAGCAGCCAAGGTACCTGCTGCTGAAGCTACAGTCCATGGGCCTTCATTTCCACTCAGGGCCTGCTAATGTGTCCCACTCTGCCAAGGAAGGACTTGACAATGCCCCCTCAGAGGCTCTTTTGTTAGATTAAAGTTTGATTTGACTGTGGGGTGCCGGGATTGGTTGGTTTGGGCCATGTGACCCAGAACTAGAACGTAATTACTACTGTTCAGTTAATTGCTTTAATTTTTTTGGGCTGTGGGTAGGAGGAAAATAGAGGTGACACACAGTTCCAAGAGAACAGGAAGGAAGGGGTGTGTGGAGAGGTTCTCTGTAAGTTTACAAATATACAAAAACAAACAAACAAAAAAGCACTTCTTTCAAATAAAAATGACTACTTTTCTTATCTGGCAAAAAGTTGTATACACATGATTTAAATTTTTTTTTTAAATTTTAACAGTTTTTGGCAATCTTAATAAAGTACAATATATTACAACCAAACCAAAAAATAGTTGTTTAGGTAACAGCTGTTAAGAGTGACGTGGTCCCTGATGCCCAGCCTCCCTCCCCATGTCCCACCCTACTCCTAGAGAGAGAGAGAGAAAAGAAAGATCCTCCCGTCTTGATAAACTCAGTTCCCACCCCGTTAGGAAGCTAACCGATAGGAGGCAAAACAAGTGAGTGGCGTTGAGGAAGCCGAGTGGGCGGTGCATTAGCAGGAGCAGCCGCCCTCGCTGGCCGGGGGCTCCTGAGGCTTGTCCAGCTTGATGTCAATCACTGTAGGAGGTGGGCTAAGGAAGAAGTGACACCACAGAGATACCATGCTGTCCCTCTGCAATCCCCACAGCCTCATCAGCTCTTTGCTCAGCTGGAGCACGAAGGAAACTGCCTCTCACCCTCTTCTCTCCTAACTCTACCTGCCTACACCCTGCTTGCTCCCCAAACTGCCAACCCAGAGTGAACCTGGCTGTCATCTCACTATCCACACCACACAGAGGTCAGGGAGAGTCGTCTTAGCTTTCCCCAATGACTCCAGCATCTAGCAATAGTCTCAGCCTGGCTAATGGCTGGCCTAAAGTGCCCTGGGAGGGAAGAGTCCCTCAGGCCAGGCTCAGAATTGAGTGTCCATATCATAAAGTACAGGAGGATGTGGGGTTGCCATGGTGAGCAGGAGTGCTGCTTACTTCTCAAGGCTGCTACAGGGAGAAGCTGCACCCGTGGGGACTAAGTAGGCCCTTTCTACCTGCATTCTGGGGACTGGGGGCTGAATCACACTTGCCAGGAACACCAGAGGAGTGGATTCAAAGTGCAGGGCAGTCTGTACCCTCCCATCATCTCTGGCTGCAAACCCAGACTAACTTCATGAGACGTTAGCTTTGCCTCTAGCCAGATCATTTGTCACTGCTGAGCATCAAGCCCTTGAATGCTCAACAGCCTCATCCAGATCCCTGGCTGGGCTCTGGTGGGGTTGCACTGTTGCACAAAACGGGTGTGAGTGGGGTGCAGAGGCAATGGAGCTTGCTGCTAGCCTTCTAAGGATGGCTCTGTGTCTCCTATTTGGAGGTAACATGTGAGGCTCTTTTGGCATAACATACCCCGAAGTTCACATTGCCTCTCTGCCTTGGCTGGTAAGAAGCTGTCACTCCGCATGGTATGTATATTCAGTATAATTCCCCCCTACCTTTATTTTCTCTATCTTGTATGTGTGCTCATAGAAAAAAAACATCCAGCTTATCTTGCTGGTATGTGTGCATGTTATGTGCACCCACACATCTGATGGCACTGTAGAGTATACACAAGTAAACTTGCTTTCCTTCCCCCTCCCTCTCAGCTCAGCTTGGTCCTCTCCCATCCCATGGTCCTTTTCCTCTGCTCCCTACATCTCTACAAACGCTTCCCAGACCATCCTGACCTTCCTGCTGCTATTCTCTGCTAACTGTGGTTCTGTGGCGTCCCCACTCATCCCAGCACACTCCAGATCCTGGCTTGCACTACTGGTTCTGAGTACAGGCCTCACTGGGGTCTTCTCATCTTTCCCAGGTACCCCTGTGAGCCACCTCACCCCTTGCTCAGCAGAGTGGCATCCCTAAGCTAGCTCAGTAACACCCGTGCCATCACCTGGAGCAGAGGCACAGCATCCAAGGTCTCTCATACTAGGATTCAGGTTTTCCCATGAATCAGGTTTGATCCTTGCCATCCACCACAGATAGAGGTTCCGCAATCAAGACTGTCTTCTTCTTCAACAGATTCCATACTTTCCTTCCTTCTAGAAGTACCATACTAACAGACTAATATGCTTTACCTTATACAGGCATAATCCCATCCAGCTCGTGCGTAGCTCACACGTCATCACCCTGCGTCCCAAACTTGTAAAACCCTATTGCTTTAGCCCTGATGTGTGACTTCACTGACCTCCACCTATGAGATTGGTTAAGTTACCCGAGAGCTGCCTGTCTTTATACTTTTTATGGTTCATTTCATCGGTGGAGAAACCTATTATCTTGACTCTGAAGAACTGAGAGAAGTTGGGTCCCCAGTCTTGTGGGCCAGGCCCCAGGGCATGTGGGGACCACTTCTCTCCCTCTCTCCACTCAATGAGAGCCATTTCCCAGTCACAGCCTAACAGATACTGGGTGCTTCTTCCAGGTTCAGGACCTACCTAGGGATCCCTGCCAAGTCTTGGCCATGCCAGAGTAAGCCTATCCATGCAGAAAAAAGACTGGGTCTTTGTTCCAGGGAGCCTCTGGATTCAGAGATGTCTCTGGCAAGGCCGGAAGATAGAGAACGCCAAGTCTAAACCCGATCTTCAGTAGCCTTTGCGGTATCTGTTATACAATTTATCCAAATTGGGGCTGTCTTGGACCATAAATTCAAAGTGCCTGGTTTCTCTTTGTTCTGTGGCTTGGCCACAATACGCCTTGGACAGTGAGTCCAAATAGCCACCAGGAGGTACTGTTGACTGTAACATCCTTCATGATCTTGAAGATTTCTGCTGGCGTATGGACAGACGGCCCAAACTCCCCTATGTACAGTTTTTTTGGGGGAACTGTGCTTCCGCCCCTCCCTCTGTAGTCAGTGCTCAATGGTTCAAGTCTTGTTGGCTAAGGTTTTGACACCTCCAGACACACTTTCACCCGGGGACTTGGACCAAGCCACCCTTTACCCTGACTGAGCCGTCTGAGTCACGGGCACTCCGACCCTTTCCCCAGCCGGGTCTACTACTGCAACTCCTACACTACCATAAGCTTGAGTCTATTGGCCAACCTTCCTCCCTATACCCGCCCCTTCCTCCTTCCCTGCCAACTCCTCCCCTTCCTACACCATCAATACCCCGCCTATTGGCTAGCCTTCTCCCTTGTACCCACCCCCTTTCTGTTCCCTCCCTCTGAGACAAAGGCCAAGGACAATTAACTTCCTCCCCCTTACCCTAGCCCCTTTGCCCCTCCTCTCTTCTCTCTCCTCCTGTTGCCCCTCCTCCTTCTTTACTAACACAGGCTCCGCCTATGGATCGTCTAGCACCCTGGTCCCCAGCCACATACTGGCCCACTTCCCCTCTAGCCTCTCATATCCAGTCTCAACAATCCCAGGCTCTCCCCTGCCCTCTCCAGAAGGTGGCTGGAGCTGAAGCAGTTGTTCGAGCTCATGTTCCTTTCTGCCTCCAAGATTTCTCCCAGACTGAAAAGTGGACAGGCCCCTTCTCTACCTTCCCATCCGCCTATATTAACAAGTCCCGCTTCCTTTGCCAGGCCTATGACTTAACCTGACATGACCTTATGCCATTCAGGCCTCTACCCTTACTGCCAAGGAACGTGGGCAGGTTCAGGCTGTAGTCAGTATGCAGACCAGGGCCTCTTAGTGGACAATATGGTCCCTGTGGGTGACACAAAGGTGCTGACCACAGAGCCTACTAGGAATTATTAGCCAGGTCACAATGACCATCAATGGAGAGACCTCGTGGTCTATTGTCTCCTTCAGGAATGGAAATGGTCTCAAATAAAACTGTTAACTTTGACAAGCTCTGCGAGATTACACAGGAAGCTAATGAAAATCTGGCCCTTTAAAAAAAATTGATTAGAACAAACCATGGGCTAACACACCTGCCTTGATCCCGCCTCCCCAGCAGGGGGCTACAGTCCTGGCTACCCATTTTATTCCCAATCATCTCCAGATATTTGGGGGAAGAAAAAACTAAAAGAGGTTGAGAATGGTCCCCCACCCCACCCCCAGGAATTGGTAAAGATGGTTTTTAAGGTCTTTAACACCTGAGAGGGGGTAGCTGATTCTTCCCAACAGGCTCAACTACAGCAAAAGGCTGCATTCCACACTTAAGACTTGGCAATTGCCCTGAGGCCACTGGCAATCCTGCAGAGGGAACAAGGGAGATCCTCCAGTCCCCATCCCACTGGGGTCCCGTCAAAGTCAACTCCAACAGGGGCCCATTTCTGCTGATCCTGCAACTGCCCCAGCCCTCAGCAACCCATGCCCTGTCTGCCCATAGCCCTCCCACCAGAAGTCAGAATGCCTCAGTGTGGGCTTGTCCTCTCTGCCTTGCCATGAAGGCCCAGTCTCATCAGCGCAGGTGCCTCAAACTCTTCCTGCTTCAGGCTCCTCAGCCTGGCAGGGGACCGATGGCACCCAGACTCAAGAACTCCTGTCACCCTTGCAGATCCCAGGGTAATTCTCCATCATTTTCCGGGTGGAAACAGGCTACCTTCTTTGTCTTGACCTCCCACTTGGGTCCCACCATTCCTTCACCAATTTCTGTAATGAGGGTGGATGGGATACCCTTCTTTCCAACTGACTATGCCACTTTCATTCATATATATATATATATATATATATATATATATATATATAATTTATTTTATGTATATAAGTACACTGTAGCTGTCTTCAGATGCACCAGAGGAGGGAATCCGTTGTAAGCCACCATGTGGTTGCTGGGACTTGAACTCAGGACCTCTGGAAGAGCGCTTGGTGCTCTTAACCTGCTGAGCCATCTCTCCAGCCCACTTTCCTATATTCTTGCAGGACCATTTTTCTCACATTTTTTTCTAGTCATGCCTGTCTGCCCAGTGCCTTTACTTGGCTACAATATCCTCAGCCACTTTGGGGCCACCCTCTCTCTGATCCCTACAACCTCTCCACTCTCATCATCTTCTTCCTTTGGTTGCCTCACAGATCATCCCTACCCCAGGCTACCCTGTTACTACACTACCAGATCCTGTCAATCCCCAAGAATGGGATATCTCAACCCTGGTAATTGTTCACTGCCATCAGCCTGTCCTAGTTCTCCCTAAGGACACCTCTTCCTTCCCTTTCAAGACCCCAGCTCCCCATTTCTGAGACCCATCATTGCCGTCTCAAGCCCATCATTACCCACCCCCTGTGTCAGGGACTTCTAATCCCTACTGACTCAGCTTGCAACCCTTCATTCTCCCTGTCCAGAAGCCCTCTAGTGCCTATTGCTTACTTCAGGACCTCCGTCATTCCTTTGGGTAACTACCCTGTGGTTACCAAACTCTACACCTTCCACGCTAACATTCCTCCTACAAATTCTAACTTTACAGTCCTTGACCTATACGATGCCTTCTTTACTGTCCCTGTACCCTGACTCACATTTTCTCTTTGCCTTCACCTGGAAGGACCCTGATACAAGGGCTACAAGACAACTCACATGGACAACTCTCCCTTGGGGCTTTCTGGATAGTCCACATTTCTTTAGCCAGGCCTCAGCCCAGGACTTCTCCTCCTTAGACAGTAATGCTAGTACACTT